TCTCTTCAAGCTACCTAAAAGACTATTTTAACAAAAATGGTTTTCACGTGCCTCCCTACTATTGCATTCCGGTATTGAGTCTTGATATATGTAGATGACTAATCTATTGGACCTTTTGGAATAGCGATGATTGCTGTAAAATTTTTCCTCTGTGTGCGTGTGCACCCGTTTTGGCCAGGAGGGGGTACAGCTGGCCGACAGTGACTAGTGCCCATCAGATATTCTGTCTATAGACCAGTCTACTTCCTTCCTTCAAGCTTTGAATGTTTCCTCATTTTTTGTAGTTATTTCGGCTTCGAATGACACGACTGTGAAGGTGTGGAACGCCCGTACGGGATTTTGTATGTCCACGCTGCCCACGCATAAGGACTACGTGCTGGCCCTTGCCTACGCTCAACACAGAGAAGAGGTTGCCAGCGCTGGTCTTGATCATGCCATCTTTCTTTGGGACGTGAAAACGTTGCGAAATCTCACGCCTAAAAACAACACAGTCACGAGTGAGTTATGCTTCAATTTGCGCTGAATAATGCTCGAGTTGTTTGCTCGTGTGTGTGGCCAATTATCTCCTTACATACGCGCTTTATTGATCGCGCTTTTAGCCTCCTCATTTAACGACGAAAAGGACAGCATATATAGCCTAGCGATGGATCCGGCTGGCTCGATCCTTGTCGCCGGTAGTCCGGACAAGCTTATTAGGATGTGGGACCCTCGAACCTGTCAACAAATCGGGCAGCTGCGAGGCCATACAGACAACGTCCGGTCACTCATTGTTCGTCCCGATACACACGAGGTTTGTACTTATTATCCCGACAACTTCACAATTTCTGCCGCTCTTCTTTTTGTGCAAAGCTGTCTACTCCTTCATCGGTCCTCTCTCTGCTTCTAAGTCGCATGGTTTTCTCGTTGCACAGTACAACTAACAGTTCTTGCTTGATGCATAGCATTGCTTCAGCTCAAACCCTCATTTGTCACCTCGTTACTAAATCAGTATCAGTTTATTACGGGAAAGCTAGGCGAACGCCCTTGAACTCCCTATTGATAACAAGCTGATAGGGAACACATGGATACAAAGAAGAACTTAAAAAGTACGCCAATTACATGTCACGGGTGAAGGCACAGCAGTTGCTGGTATTCAGTATAGTAATTAAACATGGGTACTCGTTTATCATGAGTAATATAATGCAAAGCAATGTGTGTTTGCCTGCCTTTTGTTGCCTGGCGGCTATGGAATGATGTGTTTGTTGCAAGTCCAGTGGGCTCTTAAAGGAATTAACACAGATAGAGAGGACAGCCTCATCGGGAAGGGCGTTCTACGCTGCGACTACTCTGTTACTGAAGAAGAATTTTCGTCTATCGATCCTTGGTTTGCCGGCGCGTAGTTTAAAGGGCTGAGCGCGCAAAATGGGCGTATTAGCCTGAGTAAAGGAATCGTCGGCTACAAAGCAACAATCCAGATAATCAATAATACGGAAGGTAAGTATGAGGTCCCCTCGTAGTTGTCTGCAGGAAATGGGATATAGGTCGAGGGATGAAATTCTGCTTTCATATGGCAGTGTTCCTGGACCTTTTACTATTTTTTCGCTCGCTCTTGGGCCTTCTATAAGACGGTGCAGTCTTTGACAATCCAAGGTATCCATGCCTGTATAAAGAATTCCCGGTGCGGCTGAGCGAAGCTTCCAAATATTTTGGAAAGCTGTCCTTTTCAAATTCCATAAGGGCTCGTATAATCAGTTGGAATATAGATCTGGCTGACCTCAATTGTCAGATAAATAACATGTCCTATCCGGCAGCCATGGTAAATATAAACATATTTTTTTCAAGTGAATTTTATAACTGTACTAGGTAGATCGACTGTACTTGCTCCTTCGTAAACAGGGTTGGATATGCTAATTTTAACATGTTTACCATTTTCACCAACCACATTGAGTGGCGAATGCAGCAACGCAATTATTATTTAATATTACTATGTGAAAATTAGTAGGTTATTATCATAATAAATTTTTTTAGCTAGGGAAATAAATGAAAGTAATTGGCGACTATTTTAGGTGTTCGCTCTACGATAAAAGGTCGTGACTAGGCAAGGTCATATGTACAAGGTTTAACAGATGCTAAACCA